CTGGTTTGATAAGACTCTTCTTAGGAGCCCGAGGAAGACTAAAGATCTTCTAGAGCTCTGAAGCCAGCTTAAACCCTAAATACCACTTCTACTTCCTCAAACCTCCAGGTATTTATCAATTAAAGTTGGTCTTCCATATCTGGCCTCCACTCAAATTCCCATGATGTTCCTCAAGGAGGCCTCAAGAGCCACCAAGTTTCAAAAATACTGGACAGTCACTAGTACCCAGAGACCTAAACAGAGCACTTATTTCAATAGTTAACATCGAAGTTTATTAGGAACTGCTAGAACCATCTAAAAGTAACTCCCTAATACCTATAAGGTAAAGTAGAAAGAGGACAAGATGAGGCAGCAATTAAGGAATGGGTTCTAGTCCCAGTCTGGCCACTAACTCACTTTGTGAAGAAGCCAATTATCCAACCTTCTTTGGGCTAACGTATCCACACTATTCTACTAACCTGAGGTATTATAAGAATCTAATTTTTAAGAGATGTGAAAACAATTACTCCTTCAAAAAACAACTTCATAAAACTTTTCTCCTTCATTCAATTACTCCTTTTTAAACATTTTGAACTTCTACTCTCTGCTAAGGATTAGGCTATGCATGGAATTTATGGTTAGTAGGGGAAACAGAAACTAAATAATTACAATTGTGATAAGTACTATGAAACAGAAATACTAGGACCAAGGGTAGCAGACATCAGGAGACTTAATTTACTCTGAGGGCTCAGAGAAGGCTTCTCTGAGGAATCAACAGCAAAACAGAGCCATAAAGAATAAGTAGAAATTAGTTTGGTAAAGAAGTATAAGGTAAGATTCCGGGCAGAAATACAAAGGCCCTGAAGCAACATTACAATGTAAAGTGGAATTATGGAATATTTAAATAACTTTTCAAAAACTTTTGGAAAAAATCAAAAATGTAATCTATAACATTAAAATTTAACCCACAAAATTTGCCATTTCTAAGCCCCACCCTCCTGTAGGCTCATCAACAGCTTGGATTTTTTTTAATTGTCCAATTTTTCCTAAGAAAACAGTAACAGCCTAGTCCTTGCTCTATTATTTTCTGCTATGTACCAATGCTTAGATAACAAAACAGATAAATGTCCATGTAGAAACAGTGTTTTGGAACACAGAACAAAATTCTGAATAAGCTTTTGTTTTTAGGACATATCATTAGGTACATACAAGTTCAGAATTTTTATAGCCCCCTGGCATATTTTCCCCTTAAGCATATGTAAAAAACCTCTCTATCCCTATCTTTTTTTTTAATTTTTTTTAGTTCAGCATATTATGGGGGTACAAATGTTATTGCCTTTGCCCCACCCGAGTCAGAGCTTCAAGCATGTCCAACCCCCTCTATCCCTATCTTTAAAAAGAACTCAGTGCTTTGAGTTAATTATCTTTTACATTCACAATTGTAAGACTCCTTTTATATAGACAAAATATGTCAAACTAAAATAGTATGATTGGTCAAATTTTTTGAAGTTGCTCTGCAAATTTTCTTTTCAATTTCAATATTCTTTGGAATAGCAGGTTTTGTAAGAGGATCATGGTACATGTACATACCGTGATATGTTTTATATGCATTATATTAATAAATGCTTACTAGGGGCTTTTCCTTCGCATAGCTTATTGAGGTACTACGTAATCTGAAGATTTTCACCCTGCTCTAGATCCAGACACATGTAATCTAAAATCATTTTATGTCAACAACATATATTACTTATTTTCTTGAATTCTAAACCCATTAAATTGCCTCAATCTGCAAATTAGCTTCATATAATGTATAAAGTGTTATGCAAACTGCTTTATTTCTACTCTTCTGGAAATGTGCATAACTACTGATTTGCCATGTTTCAGAGTTTTACTATAGGTTATATACAAAATTATTCCCCCATTTATATAAATAGCTGGTTCAAAAGAAGTTTATTTTATATAGCTAAGCAGTTTAAAAACAATTTTCTTGGAGCTTTTATTAGCTTATTTCAGAAGATCTCCTAAACAGATCTAAGAGTGGCCTGGTATTCCATTATGCCACAAAACACGTTTCTTACATTTTACAACTAACCAACCACCTCCAATTGCTGAAATTTTACAATTGGTAGAAGTAACAATGTATTATTATTTCTACTATTACAGTCATGTGTTACTAATTATTCAGAGAAGGGAAGTATCAAAATACACTTTTAAATAGCTACAAGATGTAATAGTTCAAACATATATAGAGTTTGAGGGTACATAAATAAATCTTATAAGAAACATTAAACTCTTTAATTTTTCATATATTTTCTTTTGATTTAGAATAAAACCTCAATGAGGAAAAGAAAACCCTTGAGGTTACAGATACTTCATAGGAAGAAGAGAGATCTTGAAACACTGTCTGCTTTAGTAATTACTTTAGACATATTTAATAAAGCAATTTCTCTTACTAGAACATCAAAAACAATAAAAAAGATCAGAGATTTAAAATGAACTAAAACTCTGTTGATAATTTTCAACTTTAATATTCACGAAGGATGAACTGAAAAATTTTTAACAAGGGTAACTGCTTTGATCATGATGCCTATGCAGAAAATATTTTTCACATTATTTTGGATCCATGATACATATTTACTTAAACAGGATACTGGGAGGGGGGGAAACAAAACAAAATAAAATCCTCCCAGATATGTGGACAGTATGTCAAAGTCAGGAGTAAAATGCATTGGTATCTTATGCTACCAAAATGAAAGCATTTGACTGAAAAAAACCTTGATCATTATATATAATAGATACATTTATTGTGGCTCATTCAAAAACATTTTTAAATGCATGGTGATTTTTTTAAAAAGAATAAACCATTCGAATGGTTAAGTAAATTGACTGCTAAGAAACAAAAGTTTTCATAACACAGTGTATAGGTTATTTTTTAATTAAAAATAACTATATTGGAATATGAATGATCTGTTTCTATTTAAAATTACTAAAGGAACTCTTAAATCTACATAACATGAAATATGTTACAATAAGTTCCTTGGGAAAAGAAAAATCTTAGCATGCTATCCAGATATTAAATGCAGAGAATTTCAAAACATTAAGTTATATTCCTTTTGTATTCCATTCCTTCATAAGCCAGACTGTAAGTGTAGAATCTCATATCTAAGCCACTTATACTTTGGTGATCACTTAGCCTGCCAATTTAGATCAAATGCCATAATATCCTCTACATTGTACTCTTATGGGAAGAGGTAACTTGCTACTACTCACTAAAAGGTGATCCCTCATATCTTAAGTGTTATATATTCTTCAATATTTCAGTATTAAAATTTTAAATTAACATCAATTATTTTCCCATTTTTAAAAATAAAATTTGTTTGGCTGTACAACATATTGTCCAGAAAATAAACTTTTGTAAATAGTAAGTGTCCATTCACAAAAGCCACTGGGTAGGACTGAGAGAAAAAAATGTAAAAAGTAACTGTATTTGAAAAATGTAATGTGCTCTAATAAACTTAGTAAGTATGAAATACTGTGTGCCCACTATTGTTCTGGGTACTTTGAGGAATAAGAGTACATACATACACATACACACACACACACACACAGAAAAAAATTAATCCAAATGAAACAACTACAGAACAAAAGATTATCAATTCTGAAATGACAAAATTTTAGAAATGGAGAACAGATTAGTGGTTGACCAGGATTAGGGACAGCAGGAGGTGGGTGTAGTTATAAAAGGGCAACACAAAAGATCCTTGTGATGATGACAGTCTTCCGTATCTTGGCTGTGGTGGTGGTGGATAGTGGACACACAGGGATGGAAATTATGTAGAATAACACACACCCACACATTCAAGTGGGAAAACCTAAATAACGTCAATGGATTTTTATCAATGTCAATATCCAGGATCTCTCTGTGTTATTCCTCACAACTGTATGTGAATCTATAATTATTTCAAACTAAAAAGTTTTATGCATAATTATAAAATATACTTTCTCCATTCTAAATACATAGCCCTCAACAGAAATACATGAGGAATAAATGCGAAAATTCCAGTGACAAAAGAAATTACCACACAGGTACAGCAGTAATTCCCCTTAAAGAAACCCAGAGTAAACATTATGTCTAAATATTCTCTGTCAATATGTTCTCAATTTTCTTTTAGCTATGTGTTAATTTACAGTTTTAAAGATCACATCTTATAAACTGAAGATTTCTCTTGACACAGTAGTAATAAAATGTGGTGGAATCATCTTTAGTGAAATATATAGAGAACCACCATTATCCTCCCTCCCTCCCTCCCTCCCATCTCTCTCTCTCTTTCTCTCTTTCTCTATCTCTCTCTCTTTCTCTACCTCTATTTCTTTCTCTTTTTTCCTTCCCTCCCCAGAAAGAGTTCGTTTGGTCTGAGGGGTAGAATGCGAGCACCTAAGAATTTCGCAAAGTCTGGTCTTTACCTACTTTGAATCTCTTGGAAAGATTCAAACATCATTCTCTTTCACTAATGCAAGACGAGACATAATGTGTAAACCACTCTGGAATTCCTTTGCTGTGAGGAAGTCGAAGGTGACCAAAGGCAGGGTGACATGCAACCGCCCAGATAAAACGGGTCTGAGTAGGGTAGATTCCCATTTCTGTAAAATGACTTCCAGGCACTTCCTATGGCCTCGACTTTGAACCTGACACTTGTCCGATCGCGATGAGGATGGAAATGAGGACATCAGGCCCCTCTCCCACCCATCTTGAAGCTTCACCCTCTCTCAGCCACCCCCTCAAAGACCGGCTAAAGAGACTGCATGCGTCTGCGGTCTTTGCGTCCTCCTGTCCCCACCCTGCCGCTTCCCCAAAGCTCAGCCGGCAGGGGCGAGCCTGGGGGACCTGGGACTCGGGGCCAGGCAAGACCCAGGATGCCGAGCGGGGAACGGGACAGGGCCGAGGGCGCGGGGGTCTGAGGCCCGGAGTGAGGGCAGAGGCCAGCGGCACTGAGCGACGCGGGCTCGCGGGGAGGGCTCACCCGCGTTCTGCAGCGTCTCGATGTTTTGGGGTCTGGTCGCCAGCTCCGCCACCATCTGCACGAACTGGGTCCGGGCTTTCTGGTACTGTTCGAACACTGCGGGGGAGAGACTCGGTGGAGCCGCCGGGTCGCCCCCGTGGGCCCCGCCGCCGGCCCGTCGGGGCGCCCCGCCCGCCCGCCGCGGGCCCTACCTTGCAGCACCTGCCTCTGACTCATGGCGCCCGCGGCCGCCCTCCGCCCCCGACCAGTCCGCCGCGACGCGGCTCGTCCGCGCCCACCCTGCGAGTCCGCCGAGGGGGCGACCGCGGCGACGGCTCGGCCTCCGACGGGACCGGTCCCTCTGTGTACCCGCGTCGCCCGGGCAACCGACCGGAACCGGAACGCGGCCGTCTCGCGGCAACGGCCAGGCCCGGGCGTGACGTCACAGTCGCGGTGCCCGGGCGCCCGGCGCCGGGCAGAGGCGGCGCGAGGGCGGCCAGCCCCTGGGGAACTCCGCCCGCAGGGGCTCCCCCAGGCTGCCCAAGCCACCAAACCGCTGCGGGGGTCGTCCCCCCGTCGAATGTCACCACCCCTCCTCGTGGGCGCGTGGGACAGGCGTCTTCCAGGAGCCAGGAGCTCGGGGATCTTCACAAACCCACCCAGCCCGGCGTGGTTTCCTGCCCGCGGCGCGGGTGCCTGGAGAGCCCCACCTGCCCGGGGAAGCTGGTCCCAGCGCGGCCGGACAAGGAAAATGCAGCCCTGGAGCTGTCTGGGCTTCGACGGTCAAGGGAAAGCTCGCGCGTGACACCGTGTAGTCTGATAAACACGTTAGTGTCAGTGCAACCCTTAAGTCAGTGTTCCCCTCTTTAACCCAGCTGTTATATACCTGGAATTTCTGGTCTCAAGATTCCTGGAGGATCCCGAGGACCATGTTCATACACTGAATTACACTCTATTGAAAGTATTTAATGAGCACCCAGATTCAGTCAGAAAGCAGACGAGGAAACCATGTGATAAAATGCCCTGTCTTCCGTGGCTTTCTCCTAAAATTACTACTGATTTTGCTGTTTCCTCACTTTTATGTGGTTTTTTAAAACATTTTGTCTTCGTCTATTAAATTTAAGCGTTATTCTGTTGCTGAATGACATTTCCAAAAGAAAGAGACAGAATCTTTACCTGGAAAACCAGGCTTCTCTGGTTTATATAACTTGAACTCTTTACCTAGTTGTTTTTTTTAAGAAAATTTAAGTACTTAGTCTATCACGGGTTTCTAGCTTGTCTTTGAAAACTATATACCAAATGTTCCAATGACAGGTGTCAACTTTAAATGGTTCTCTATCAGAAACTACAATTTCACCAGGTGTCAAATGGGTAGATAGCCACAGCTGCTGCTGCAAGACAGGAAACCCCTTGATATTTCTTCTTCTATAGAAAGGAGCATGCAAACTTAGCTGGTTCTTATATTTGGAGTGAATCCTCTATAATAATCTTTAAGATCTCACCCTGACCTGAGCTCTCTGATGAAGTCCTAATATTTAGTGGAGCTCCAAATAGTTGGGGAATGGACTAGCAATCAGAGGAACAAGTGTGTTTAGTCGGGTCCCTGTTACCCCAGAACAGGTACATGTCTTTTCCTTCTGCAGTTCAGAAGCCAGTGATACCCACGATCCTTTTACTTAACTCCAAGCCATAAATTCTACAAAGATCTCTACATTCCCCTAAGGGAACAGGTCCTTTAAAATTAAAGTTACCGTGCACTCCCACTTACAGATGTGGGGGAAAACATTGAGTAAATAATTAAGATTGCAAATAAACTGCTGTAATTTTCAGTTCCTTGTTGCATTGTTTTTAAAAATCCCCTTAAAACTAAAAGGTTCCATATTTGGTTTCAGTCCTTAAACAAACAATTCAAACTCTTAAGCTACTCTAGCTGCCATTTTTAGCAATTGCTTTACTATTTGTTTTCTACTTTAAAAGTGTTAAGAGCTCAATAGTGAAAAAAAGGTCTAAACCTATAAACTTAACACAGTCTACTTATGGGATGCTACAAAGTTCTTTGAAAACTTAAGGTCAAGTGGTATGTAAATTATTTTAAACTATAGAGTCTGAATATCTACTTTGAGTCTTTGAGTTAAATTGCATTGCTCCTGATAAAACATAATATAGAATGCCTACTTCATATCTAAAATTGGACATATTAAATAAGCTGGATCTTTGCTCTTTATTCTAGCTTTCTTTTTAAAAAGTCTTTAAAATTAAATGGAGAAATATAACACAGAATAATCATAATATGCATATAAATAAAATTGTTAGTAATTCAAATATAAAATATGGCAAACAGATTTTTATTGACAAGAAAACCAATCTAGATTTTTTGACCCATTTTCAACTTACTAACTTTAAAACAAAATACCATTCTGTTTTATAAAGTTAAATGAATGCCCCATGATCACATACACACCTCACACACCTCTAAACTAATAATTAAGCAGTGAAAAAGAAAACTATTCAAAAAGATAGCTTCTGTTTAAAAAAAGTGTTATTAAACTAAGAGTACTGTTCTTAAAGTACCAGCTGACTTGAGAGGTACATAATGTAATTGACATATGACACTATACATCTGATTAAGAATGAAACATTATCTGAACAACTTGCAAAAGTGTTTCTATGAAAGGTTTGTTTGGAAACCTTTGGCAACATTTTTAAAAAGCTAATCATAATATGTAACTTCAACATCATTTTTTCACTTAATTCCTTCTTTATTTATGAAAAGGAGACTGAAAAAGTCAACAGGATAAATACAGTTTTAAAATCCTGTTCTGTTTCTCTTTACATATCTTCTTTGAGAGTTCAGAAAATCCCATTATCATGGGAATATCTGCTATACATATGCCTAAAAGAAACTTTGCTAATTTTAACATCTATGTATTTTTTTCTTCAGCTTCTAGCTGAATTTTAAAAGTTAAAGCTTTATGTATGCTAATTAGGTATTAACATCCACACTTTAAAAACTGTTGTTGAGGTAAGTCAAATGTATATATATTCCTCCATCAAGTCAAACACATATTAAATACCCATATGTACCAAACACTTTGCTAATAAGAGAATGTGCCTTTCTTCCAGCACATGAAGTCTAGTAAGAGATAGACATTAATTCATTCTACAAGCATATACCTACGGAAGTCTGTATTAATTCATTCAACAAGCACACACTGCAGCCTGCCAGTGTTTTAAGGGCTGTAATTGTTCTAAGCACCATGAGTGTTTTGGGAGCACAGATGAGGGACTTAAGAGTAAAGTAGGTGAAGGGTGAGAATATCTAAAACATCATTTAAATAATAAAAGCCTTCTTGTTTTTAATAAAAATTAGCTGAATTTTATTCAGATATGAAATCTCCTTCCCCTCAAAATGAATTTCCCCAAAAAATCATTGTGTTAGCATTTTAAAAGGCATTCACTTGCACGTAATTATTTAAGTTATGGAAATACAAAGATCGTTTTGCCAACACCAAATCTAAAATTACTAAAACAACTCCATATTTACAAACTGGAGTTAAAAATAAAGGCATTACATACTCCATAATCAAGTTAGTAGACCCAAAATATTATCTATGATGATAAAAGCAGACGTGACTATGTCAAATGTTGCATTGTCCCTCTTTTAGGAAATAACATCAGCATTTTACCTTTAGGTCTGAGCAGACCATCCAGTTGTGTCATCAAGTTTGTCAGCGGAGCAGAAGAGACTTGGACACTTCCATCTGGGAAGGGAAGATCAACATTTCTATGTATGCTTTGTGTTTGTGTCTTATTTCATATCCTTGGCTTTTCAAACCTTCTAAAGTCAACTCTTTATATTTTAAAGTTTTTGTTTCTTTTTAGTGTTAAGGCCAATAGAATGTAAAAGGGTAACGATTTAGTTGGCCCCAAAGTCCTAAAAATATACCTATACATGGCTTCCTTTCCAGCAATTCAGAGGATGCAGAGATTGAACACCTTTTCCACTCCTAAAGAAATCCGTGATTAGGAGATTCCACACACGAATGATTTTGCTTCCAAAAAAGGGTACCATATAGCTCAAAGTGATTGATACTAAAAACAGATACTTTTAATGCAGAAGTCTGAAATACAGCATAACATTTTCTAAGGCAATGCCATGCATAAAAACTAAATTAGTTCAGTTTAGCGTGTTAAGTGATATAAATATCTTCTTGACTTACATGAGTTCTCTTAATTAAAAATTGTACCCAAAGCCTGCATCACCAGATAGAAAACTCCAAGCACCTTGGCGCAGAAGCCGGTCAGCCACTCCCTCTCAATACCCTCACCCTCAGCCTTCCGACCCCTTTAAAATCTTGGCGTTGCTGGACTTGTGTCAGAGAAGGTATGTACTATTCCTCTCCCACCTTTCCTCCCAACATTTTCTTTTAGTAGTTTCATAGTTTCAGGTCTTAGATTTAAGTCTTTAATCCATTTCGGTTTGATTTTTGTAGATGGCGAGAGGTAGGGGTCTAGTTTCATTCTTCTGCATATGGATACCCAGTTTTTCCAGCACCATTTATTGACGAGAGTGTCTCCTCTCCCACCTTTCTATTAGCACAGGGCACAAAAGACAAAGGTGGACGGGGCCGCACAGTAAAGGACCCCTAGAGCCCACCAAGCCCGCGGGGGATGCAGCCCACGCATCCCTCAGGTGCGGTCTTGCAAGGGCTGCGCAGCGGCTGGCTCGCCCCGCCCAAGCTGGACGGGGACAGGTCCCCGTGCAGGGTGTGCCCAGGGTCCTCGGTTCCACGGCACTGGAAGGCAGCTGCGCCCAGCGTTAACAGGGGTGTCCGGCCGAGGGGAAGGGAAGAATGTGATACTCCCCGACTTCCTTGGCTTTTTCCATTCATCCAAAGTTTCTCCAACTCCGACGAGCAATCTCGCGGAGACCTGAGTGCCTAAAGGAGGAAGGGGGACAGGGAACCGCGGGCCAGCCGTGGGTCGCCGGGCGAGGCCGGAGAGGCGGCGCTGGGGGAAGGGGCGGAGGCGCGCGGCCCGAGGGCGCGAGTGCGGAAGCGCCCAGCAGGCTGGGCCGGCGCTTCCCTCCCGCGGGGCCTCCCCCGGCCGAGCCCCGCGCGGCCTCCGCGGTGCGGGGGGAGTCCAACTCTGCAGCTCCCTGGCAGCCCCGCTGGGACGGGGGGAAGGCGCGGCGGGGCGGCTGTTAAGATAAAAAGGCCTCTGTCCTTTCGCTTTGG